TCAATTTGAAATTTGAGGATGGCCCACCATGGTCGTATTTCTCACTGCAACCATCTGGTGGAAGTCACCCTTCAGAATGAAAGCAAAAAGGACCCCTGTGATGCTCCGATATATGTTCCCGGAAAAGAAGCACAATGGCCAGAAAAAGGGAGAAATTGAAGTTCAAAAAGGGTGTTCGTTCGTGCGCGGGGAATAAATAAAGGTAGGTAAAGGGAAAGGTGATATTGGGGGTGGATTTGGGCTTTTATTTGGTTTTCTGGGTTCTCATTTTCTTTTTCATTTTCGTCGTGTGTTTGTGTGTGTAATTAAGTCTGCGTGAGAAAAGGGGTTAACAGATTCTCTACTGTTGTTCAGGTCGTGAAAAAATTAACAAGAAAGTAGGAGAGAGGAGCAGGGCAGGGAGGTAAGATGGAGTTGGGCATATAAAGAGGGAAAATAGAAAGAAAATGAGTGATGGGGAAAGATGAGGATTTGGTTTTTGCATTTCCTGGAAAATACCCTCGTTTTCTCTCGCCCCAGTTTCACTCCTCCACTACTGGCACCAGTTTTAACATTGGACGGGCAATGTCAATTTCATAAAATGACAACTAAATCCCCTCCATTTGCCACTGTAATATCACTTTCTCTGGCCCCGAGCTTTCATGACAGCCAATCAAATTTAAATTCTCTCTCTCTCTCTCTAGCTTGACGGGATGAATTTTGTATCTATCTGCATGCATAATTAGCTTTCTTTATAAGTTTTTTGAAATTATAACTATTTTTTACTGACATTTTGAAAAGCGCCTTGATTATTGAAAATATTTTTGTGTAAATTATGGGACATAAATAATTAAATGATCCTGGTTAAAAGATTACTTTGACAATTTACAAAATATCTATTTATTTATTTTTATTGCATGTATGGATATTAATTTTAATTTTAAAATGAATATATAATAATAAAAAATATATTAATATTGTTATGTTACCTATAATTTTGAGTATGCACAAAATTTAAACAAAAATATACTATTTGACTATACTTAACATATTTAATTTTTAATTTATTTTTTAAATATTTTTTTTATTATCAATTAATTTGACCAGTTATTAAACTAATTACAATGGAACTCGATGATCTAGGATTTACAACATTGCTCTGAACCAATGGGCTTGTACATGAACTGGGTTTCTGAATATAAACAATTTTGGAAGCGGTTAATGTAGTTTGAATTCAAAGATATGGACCATCAATTAAACACCCCCACAAAAAATAAAATTGGTGCTTGAAGCAACTGAGAGAACGAAAAGGAAAAAAGTAAAACAGAAATTATAACTTATTTCATTGCAGATATAAGCGCAATATCAGATTCTCAAAATTTAGCAATAATTAATATAGAAATTATAGCAGTTAACACTTTCAACGTCAAAACCCTAGTCAAGTTCAACATGACATGGAATAACATTCATGAAAAAACAAAAGAAAATGGAAACTTAAGAAGAACAGATTTTCGATTCATAACAATAAACACTTTGAACACTAAAACCGAATCATCTTCAACATGACACGGAATAACATTCATAAAAAAACATAAGAAAAACAGAAACTTAAGAAAACAATATAGCAAACTAGATAAAGTCAATATGACAAGCGTAGGTGAAGCTCAACAGGACTGAAGTTGCAAAAGTTGGTTGATTGAAGAATTGAAACACGGATTCGGCCTCGCACATGCACGGACCTAGATGAAAGTCAGTTGACATCGGCACTGCTAGGTAGTGGAAGCGGTAGAACTCGGCAGTTTTGGATGACTTAGGTTTCAGTTTCACACAAAAAAAGGGAACGATACAACCTGAAGGAGAACGAGAATACGAAGAAGGAGACGCAAATAGTGGGAGGGCTCTCAGTCGAGGGTGACAGTTGATTGGTAGAAGGCAATTAATGGCAAATGCAGAGAGAAGGTCAGTCTCGTTTTGGTCGAGTGATAAGCCAAGGATGAAAGGTAGGGGTTTTAATTAGGGAAAATTGTGATGACTTTGCGAGGGAAAATACCTCACTAAAAATTTCCCACAAAGACATAAAACATTCGCAAAAATAGTGGGAAAAGTTAGCTGAGGGATTTCCCTTGCTAATTAGACACCAAAAAGAAAAAAAAAAAGGAATTGGAGAGGATAAAATTTCACCATCTTCATTCACAAAATTTAGCGAGGGAAATATTTCCTCACTACTACGTTGCAAAGTAGTGGGGAAAGTTAGGGAAATCTCTCACTAATTGGCCACAAAAATTCACAAAAAATTAGGGAAAAATTTAGTGATAGATTTTCCCCAATAATCGGTTGCAAAAATATCAACGACCAAAAAGTTTCTATCTATTCATTCGCAAAATTAGTGAGGGAATTATCTCCTTGGCTAGTTTGCCACTGTTCCATCATTAATTTTCTTGCATTTCTCAAAGCACAACCCATTCAAGAAAAACAAGCCTTCTTTTGAATATGCACGTTTATAATCTCATATACTTATGTTCAATCAATTTGTCAATTAAAGAAACTAATATTTAAATTACAATAATATTAAGTTCTAAGTCTCATAAATCATATATGGTATAAGCATAAAACTTAAGAATTTGATTGGAATGCATCATAAGTTCATGTTTCATGTGTTATGAATATATTCTTAGGTTTTGGTGAGTTGACCTTTTTTGTGAACATGAAATAAGAGGTACAGTATTGTTTTTTCTGGCAAATCCCCACTTATTTGACACTAAATCATCGGAAAAGTTAGTGATGAAAATTTTTTGGCACTAATTTCAAATTAATCGGTGGATAGCAATCTCAACAAAAACATAGTCAGTATTTTCTTGGTAATTTTAGCGAGGATATATTTTTTTTTCACTATTCAGTTGCAAGATTACCGGGGTAACATGTTTGATAGCAAATCCATCGCTAATTTTTGTAAGGAAACAGCGTGAGACTTTTTTCTTCATAAATCTGTTGGAAAGTGGTCGCTGAATTGCGTTGGATTTGTTTCCTAGTGAGGGATTCTTTTTTGTAGCGAATCCGTCACTGTTTAGCATCAATTTAACTTGTGAGGTGTCCGTCACTAATTTCCTTTGGTATTTTATATTTTTCTTGTAGCATAGAACTCCTCAAATTGGCAGCCAGCTAGCTAGTGGTTTTCTTAAGTAGACAACTTCTACTTTAATTTCTGCACTTGATATATAACTAGAGAAATTAGAATTTCTCGCTTCCTTGCACTTAAACCAACCTGTTTTCAAGTCCAAAGAGGAGTAAAAAGAAGAAACAAGGAGGAGGCAGAGAATTAAGGTAGGATGCTTTGCCAGCCACCAACAAAAGTAATTCGACTAACGTAGAACACATACCTTTGACATATTTTATTCTCTGTCTTAAAGCCAACCAAGCTCATACCAATCCCCAGTATTAATAGGCTCATCTTCAGTGCCGATATCCCAATTCTCAACGGCCTCGGCCTGAGGATTAGCGGGTGGGCTATTTTTTTCCATCGTAGGGAGGTCATGAGGATGATGAGATGGTGTTTCCTCATCAACATGGTGAGGTTGCTGCACAATTGCCTTGCCCCGTGTTGGTGCAAATGGTCGTCTGTCAAGTGTACGGATGCATCTATTTGAGCTTTTGTACACTCTGCACAAACTAAACTCATTCCTTAGCTGCAAAAATATACATCACAGATTAATAGGAAAATTTTGATAGTTTGATTGATAACTGTTGGTACGAAGAATAAATACATTTGAATTATTGTTAAGAATTAAATAAATGGTTACAGTATCCGAAAGTCTTATGAATAGTATTTTATTTTTACAAGTTTTCTAAACAATTAATTTTTTAAGTCCATTTAGCATGTATAAAATCAAACTAATTAATCAAATCAAATCAAACCAATCAAATATTAATTTTTTAAATTTGATTTGATTTAATTTACAAAAAGAATCTAAAATTATAATTTAGTTTAGTATAATAATCAAACCAAATTATTCTAAATTATGAATCAGAATTTTGAAAATATTTTTCTCAATAAAAAAATATATATACACACATGCACACACGCACATATATTCATAAACACGCATATGTTTATATTAATATAGACATGTATGTGTGTGTATATGTGTATGTGTCAATATATATATATATATATTTGTATATTTACCCATATGTATACATAATATATGTACACATTATATATATATATAATATGTATACACATGCACGTGCAGTTACATACATATATATAGTAATAAAAAAATAAATTAAATAATTTATTTAAATAATTATTAAATAATAATAAATTAAACTTATAATCAAGCCAAACTGAATTGAAATTTTAGGTTTGATTTAATTTAGTTTACAATTAAATTTGTTTGATTTAATTTTTAAAGTATTCATACAAAAAAAAAAAAAAACTTAATTATCAAAAATTAAACCAAAATTATGGTTTATATACCCCTAGATCTATTAAAATTTTGAATAATAGTTTCTTGATATATATGTGGAAATGAAACTAAGCAACATGGCTCAGTTCATGCATATTTTTCATAATAATTGCATTCATATTTCCTGTTTTCACTTCTTAAAAATATTAAAGTAAGGGATTATGCAGATATTAATGCTCTTAGTTTCTCACTTAAAATAGAATGACTTTTTCTCAATGATGACTCTCTACATTGACTTAAAATAGAACGACTTAGTTTCTTAGTTTCCCCTGCCAAAGAACATTCAAGGATGATTCTGATCTGTTTACATGGTTAAATTGGTGTCAAATTTAAAATTTAAATTCATTTAGCGTACAATGGATTCAATTGATCGCCACCTAATAGACAATTAAATCATAGAAATAAAATATTCATTTCAAATACATGAACTGGAGAATCCAAATTCAAACCGTACTTGCTCAGTTTGGCCTTCTTCATTATTGTTAATGGGGTCATTTACATTTCTCAGAACCCATATAATAATGAATGTAAAGTGGTAGGGGCTGTTTGGTTTGGTCATTTTTGGTGTAGGATTTGTTTCTTTTGTTGGTTTCTAGATATGTTTTTGGAATTCCTCAAAGTGTATAGTGATCCTTCAGGATTGTTATTAACGAAATCCCCTTGCTTTTAAAAAAAAATATATATAAACAAATGTAACTTCAGAATCTCCAAACGAATGTGCATCTCAGTCTAGAGTTTTCCTCTTTTATGAAAGATATATTAGATTAAATTTAAAAATGAAAAAAATGAAATTAAACACTCAAACGAGTAGGCTTGGGAGAGGAATGCCTACCATTTAGTTCCATAAATCCTAAGATCCATGTCGATGTATGGTTTCAACAAAGTTTACATGACTTCTGATGCTGTAGGATTTAAGGAGAGTCAACTCTAACCCTACTTTGTTTCTCTTTTTTAAGTTCATAACGCTCATGTTGCAATAGAATGACGTTAGCTGTCTCTTCTGATTAGATACCAAACTTTCAACCTTAATAATAAAGAAAAATAAAGAAAGAAAAAAAGCTGCAATATCACAAACCAACCCTTGGAACTGACGAGGGGGCGTCTCCTTCAATCGCCCTGTACTCATTCATCTTCCATGCAGTTTTTCGTCCGGTGGGAAATCTTCCTACGTAGAAAATCATGCTTGTTTTTATGCCGATAACTCGGTTATCTGAAGAGTAAACATAACTCGGAGAACTGCAGGCTTTCCAGTACCCTGAAGGGGTGAGGCGGGTTGGTCTTCCACCCCTGAGTTCTCTCTCCTGCCTTGGAATAAAGAAAAACCACTGGTCTGGATCACTACGTCACCGTTCTCCAGCAAGCTCTGTTGAACAATATTAGCAAGGATTTAACAGAAGATCAAACTAATTTCTGGAAAATTGAAAATTGAACACTAATTTCTGGAAACCCAGTCACGGAAATTTCAAACGTACGGGGCAGATCGGAAGGATTGAACTCGTAGATGCAAAGGACTGGAATGACCAAGTCAATATCTTGTCTGTTCCCACGTAGCTTGTGGTGGAGGTAGAACAATATTAGCTCTTCCTCTGTTGGGTAGAACCGAAAACCTGGCGCCCGCTCCTCCATTTTCTTCTTGTGCTTCTTCTTCACCTCCTCTCTTGGAATATAGCTATTTTCTTTCTTGATCTCTTCATTATATATAAGAATTCTAACCTGGCAGACAAGTAGGTCATTTCATCTAATACTTGTCTCTTGGTTCCCCGTATTAGGGAAGATAGCAAAGTTCAAAGAACGAGGCGACAGAGACTTAGGGCATTTGAATTTTTTTATTAAAATTAATACAAGGCATTAAAATAATAATATATTTAAAATAACTTAACATATTTAAAATTTTTATATAATCAATAGAAAAAGTTAGTACCAGAAAACTAAAAATTGAACGAGGAAAATAAGAGAGATAAGAAAAAAAAATTGTAAAAATTAACGTAATTTAGCATAATTAGCCTATATTTATTGAAAACAATAATTGATTTGGTATTTTACTCAAGTAGTAATCAAGTAGCAGACATGATGCTTAGTTTAATAAATACATATAGCAGGTCTGCTTATAAATTCCAAAAAAATTAGGATAAATTTTATTACCTCAATTTATAGTTGTTTTACTCCCTTACTTTCATTGATAAGATTTACATATACTTATTACAATCCTATCCCTAATAAAACCAATAATATTTCTTAACAATATTTATTAAAAGTTAGAATACACTAACTTTCTATTTATTTATTTATTTATTAGTATCTACTTATTATTTTTTACATATTAATAATTACTAAAAATATTAAATCAACTAAATTCTAGATATACCTTTTGTATTTTTTTAATTAATTTGAGAGTTTCTAAAAAATAAATTTAACATCTTATTTATAATTTAATGTAATTATTTTCTCAAATTTATTTTAGGTGTATTCAGTTTTTATGAGTTCACTTCTTTTTAAAATTTATTTTTTCTACAAGATGGCATTAAATGAGGCATAAGAGACTATGCAAACTTAGTTTCATTGAAACTTCCAAGTAAAAACAAGGATGAAGTCTTAGTGCGCTGCATTCCCCGTGAGTACTGATATTATTATTAAATGCAAAAGTTATGTTGATGCTCCCCAGTGCACGTTATTTTCGACGGCGAGGAAAGAATTCGATTTGGATCTTTTTGTTATTTTATAGATTTTATCAAAATAATAAAAATATTCTAAATTTTATCATTCAACAATTACTAAATAAAATATAAGAAAGTTGTTCTCACGAGCATCACTTAGACTTTCTTATTTTTCTTTTTAATATTTTATTTATTGTCAAAAAGTATATATCAAGTATCACGACCCATATTGGGATCATGACCGACGCCAAGCATGAACTGGCCAATCTGAGCAAATTTAACAGAAATAAAAATCTAATTTTCAAAGCATTCAATAATCCAAACATAAACGCAAATCATGTCGAAAAGACTTGAATGTAAAACTTCTTGAAAAACTAAAGAGTCACAGCATTTTAGGATAAAAAGATTGAATAAACTCATTTGCCAATGATTGCATACACCTATGATTACATAAGCTTAGTCACACAAGATCTCTTAGCCTATAACCGAATTCACTAACGTAGCCTCTATACATTTGTATATTGCGCCTGTGTTGACAATATTTGATTCTTTAACTTTGTTTATAAATGTAAAAATTGGTGTATTTGATGATTAAGGCAATTACAATGAATATATATAATTTCTCACTCTGTTTTCTTTCTTTGCTCCTTCGTTTAACCATGCATCAATTATATTCTCTGAAGATTCTATCATAGTATCAAAGCCCCTAGCCTAACAACCGTCTTATATAGAGGTCATTACCTAGTGGCTTCATTCTCCTTGTCATAGATACCTCTTGGTGCTTAACTCGAAACTTTAGTTCTCATCATCTCTCAATCACTGGTTCAAGCTCAACAACTATTTACTCATTTAGGCCACGTTTAGCTTACAATGGGATGATAAGAAAAAGGCAAAATACATTCTTGGGAGGGAATGCGTAACAACCGGCTTATCACACATTTGGTTGGTATGAAAGAGATCCTGATAATACTTGTGTACAAATAATCCCCTTTTGGGTATCCGATGTTTAGTTTATCTAATAAGAAATGATAAGTTCCGAAATTATATAAAAGCCCCCTTTATGTTGTTTGCCTAAAATACCCTCATTGGCACAACCTTATTACAATTTTACACTCATATTTGATAGGGCAATGAAACCCTAACCTGATCCTTCTTCCTTCATAGTTCGTAGAGGTGTGACATCCTAGCCATGGTTGATCAAGGCTATCATTGGCTGTAGTGATAATGGTTGTTGGCCTCATTTGATGGCCGATGATAGCCATTTTTGGCCTCCATATAATGGCACGCCCCCATTGATTCATCCTTGTGTCAGCTGGTGGCATGGGTTCCCTCTGAGCAATGGCTACGGATGATAGCCATCAACCTTGGTTAACCCCCAGTGGTTAATTCCCTCTGTTTGATGGTCTTTATTCCTTTGTTAGCGGTGGGCGCACTTTCCCTTTGTGCGTCGATGGAGGATGATGGCCGTCTATCCATGGCCAACCCCTATGGTACCTTTTGTGTATGGATGCTGAATGATGGCCATTTGTCTTCTATCTCTACACTACTGTTGTTTTATGAGTTTTTTAGACCAGATTGATATTGACATAACTATGTGCTCACGACTTATGTTACAGCACTCTATGTGTTATTCGTAGGGCAATAAAATTGTTCTATATATTAGAGATTTTTATATAATTTGGTACTTGTGCGTTGGATTGGTTGTCCTCATGTTTTACAAGGTTCAGACCTCAATAGGATTTTGGAGAAGGTAACATGGCTTCAATAGTCTAATATCTATTTGGCAATTGTATATAAAATGTGGCTTGTGCAATATTGATTAAAGTTGCTTCAATATTAGTTTTCTTTGTATTTGATAGTTATGTGGAATATTTGGCCATCTGTGTTGTTCTATTGAGTAGGTATTAAATGCATTATGCCATCTGCTTAGTCTTATTGAATCATTATTAAGTGCATATATGTTTTGCTCTATGATATTGGAAGAGTAATTGGATGCATTTTGTCTTCTACTCCATTCTATAGAATGAGTATTGATGGCATTACAAGTTTTGCTCTATTATAAAAATAAGTATTGTTGATATTATGTATTATGCTATGTTCTATTGAACAAATATGAAAACACCTAATTAGTTGATAAGTTATGTGATGTTGGATATTCATAGGCTAACATGTTGGCACTTACCTAATTAGCTTATGACTTATGTGTTGCCAACTCTAATATGAAGCTAATATTGATGACACTTATTTGTGACTTATGACTTATGTGTTCTCTATTCAGAAGCCAATATGATGACACTTATTAGATTAGCTACTAAATGATATGATGCTGGAGATTCTTAGGCTAACATGATGACTCTTACTTAATTAGCCTATAATTTTATATGTTGCCAATATGTCACGCCCCAACTTGGAAGCGTGACCAGGACCAGGGTTGGTTTACCAACCCTAGTAAGCCTCTAGTTAGAACAAAGCAGATAAACATCATATTAGAAAGATAGCTAGTATATAAATTGAACTCGTCTGAGCTGTACATGGAGCTTCTAGAGTACAAAAACAAAATATACAGAAAATGCCTATACATCAAGTCAGTATAGTGGTGACGAAATTAGTTGCTAAAGCTACTACGCCGACCAAAACTGAAATTTGGAAAGCGGGGGAAAAGGGGTGAGTATAAAACTCAGTGAATGATAGTAGTACTCTAAGCATGTCGGGACATGCATTGTAACCATTCAAACATAGATATCATCTCAATTAATAACATAACTTACAAAAAATCACATTTGCCTTAGGTAACACATATATTTCATATATGCACAGTCAAAATCAGAAAATAAACATCTGTCAGAGTATCAGAACATATCACATGTCACATATTGTACTGGGATCCCATATTAGAACCAGAATCAGAAACACACATCGTATTGAAATCCCGTATTGGAATCAGAATTAGATATCATACATCGCACTAGGATCCCGTATTAGAACTAGAATCACAATCACATAAAACTACTAACAGGCTAACTTTTACAAACGCACGTGTTATTAAGGCAGGTATGTAAATAATTACAGAAATATTTTTAAGCTTATCGTAATTTAAAACAGATAGATACATGTCTTGGAATTGATACCATAATTCAGAAATCAAAACACAGAAACTAACAAAAAACCAAAGTGCGGACATATGTATAGAGAAACTGTCAGTCACCAGATATGTTAAAACCGATATCCAAAACTCTGACAGACCACTCACTGGCCAAAGCGTGCCTCATCAGATGTATCTACAATCACCAAGACAGCAGCTAGAATCGAAGTCAAAACTCACCTCAAATAACTCAATTCCTAAAAGTGGCCTAGGGTCACCCCTTATCCGAGCCCTCAACATGTATCCCGAGACCCCCTGATAAAACCCTCTAATTCATGCCCAAAACCAAAACATAATCTTATTCTTAACAAAAATCCGTAAACCAAGATGAATCAGTTTCCGAAACTATGAAACCAGCTTGAACTGGCTCAAATACCCCACAAACGAACCGAACCAGCCATGAACCACCCAAACCCAAACTGAACTAGATTGAAACCCCACTAAACCAAGCCGAACCAGCCCTAATTTCACCTGAACTGGGCTGAAGCAGACATAAATTCTGATGAATTGGGATGAACCGGGCTCAAATCCCCATAAACCAAGGTGAACTGGACTGAACTAGGCTTGGATCCCCCTAAACAAATTCAAACTGCACAAAATCGCCCAAACTAGCCAGAATCCCAACAAATTCAAGCTAAACCAGACCAAAAAGGCCCTGAATCGGCCCTAAAAATCCTAAATCAGCCAATTTAGTCATAAAATTCCAAAAATCCAAGTGAACTGGAGTGGTTCACCACCCAGCTTTGGTTCAAGTTGGTTCTTCATCCTCTATTAAACCGGAAACTGAGCTAACCTCCCTGGTCCAAGCTAGTTTGAGGCCTGACTGGTCAAGTTAAGCTAGACTGGGCCGAACTAGCCCAGTCAATGCAGGACAGACCCAGATGCTATGCGGGTCAATCGTTCTTACCCAGAAACCTGGGTCACAGACTTGAGGTCTGTAACACCCCTGTGACCTTTAATCCTCCAAAATTTTCAAGATTTGAACTTACCTGGCTAAATTGAAGCCCCCCAAGCTTCAATTCTGAACCTCCAAAACCGATTTCCAACCTTTAATCGGACCAATTTGAGCTTAAACTCCAGATTTTCCCCAAAAATCCTGTCAGCACCATTGGCCTTCCCCAGCTTCGTTCCTCACCTTTATCTCACTCAAACTCAAATTACTCACAACCTTAATCTGAATCTAATATTGATGGCATTTATTTGACTAGTCATGACTTGTGCGTTGGCCTCCCTTAGGAAGCTAATATAATGATATTTATCTAATTAGCTCATAATCTTGTAATGTTAGACATTCTTAGACTAACATGATGGTAGTTATATGATTAGCCTATGACTTTTGTGTTGCCAATTCTAATAAGAAGCTAATATTGATGACACTTAT